GGCTCAAACAAAACAATAAGGTTTTCTCCTAACTCTCACAAGTGAATCAGGTTTTCTCACAAGACAGAAGTTAGACTAAGCCCGTAATTGAATAAAAGGGAGTTGAGCTAGCTCCAGAATTGAGTCACAAGACGGAGTCAGTGTGGTTCACTCAATTCCCACAATTAACCACTTGCTGTCCTAATCCCCTCTATTCCCTCAATTTTTCCCCCTTTGGATTTATGGGGGAGTGGGCAGTCCATTCCCCCATGGATCACTTATCTATAAGCCAAATCTGCAAGATTTTTTTTTCACATGTTCATAATCAAAATTACATAAGTCAGGTTACAGATCAAACTACTTAGGGGACTCACAATGGGCTTATTTTGAAAAGAGAGATTTATATGTCACCAAGGTAACCAAGAAAACGTAAACATATATATTTTTTCTAATCTTCAGAATGCTCAGAAGATCAAATCTTTGTTTCTTCCATCATTTTATCTTTTATCGGCCGTAACTTAAAGGAAGCCAGGAGGTAGGAGAGCATTTCAGGCACAGGGGACAAACAGTTAAATGATTCTATCACTCTTGATCTATGAGGCTCCTTAGTCCAAGTGACAGCCCCTCTAGAGTACTCATAGATGAAACCAAAGAAAATGGAAGACTTTAAAGGACTGGGTATGCAGATGAGATGGCCCTTGGTACCAGTATGATATGATAATTGATGCTGCCAGACATCTAGTGCCCACAGGTAAAGATGAATTCAGGGCATGTTTTTTGGAAGCTTTTTCAGAAATCACAGCCCCATTGCAGTCACCTGTGGCCCATTTGGATGAAGAACTAGATATGGCAGCTAAATTTAGATGCTGATATTAAGGAGGAACACTCTTATGGCTCAAATATCTCAGGATCTCAAATGCAAGAAAGAAGAGAAGAAAGAAGATGAAAATGATCCTATTAAATTTTCTGTCACTGAAGGAAAAAATTTGGAATCTGAGCAGACTTTAAGTGTATCAAAAACCACATGATTTCTTAAAAGAAAAAAAAGAGCTTTAAAAATTGTGGCTGCCTTATTATTTACAGTTGATTTAAAGCAGTAGTGTCAAACTCAAAAGGAAATGGATCCCTGTGGGCTTCATATTGACTTGGAAAACCACAAATTGACATTATCTATGTTGTATTGCATTCTTATGTACTATGTCAAACATTTTCCAATTACATTTTAATCTAGTTTGGGCAGCACTGCCCATTTGAGGCCAGCAGGCCAGTTTGACAACTCTGAAAAGGGTTAGGACACAGAAGAAGACAATACTTCAGGAAGAGCTCTTTGTAAGCGAGCCCCAAGTCAGTGCTCCAGCATGGTTACTGCAATATGCATACCTTCACATTTCAGACAGAGGTTAACACAACAGAATTCTGATGAGCTGACTTCTTCAAGCAAATGGAATGCTGTCCGTGTGCCCTGTGTCTCATCTGCCAATGGTAATGCAATCCAGGTTCCACCTCATCCCCATGTTCATTTGCTGCAAATCAGGTGCTCTAACAGGATGTGACATGAGAAAGGTCTGATTGAGGTCTGCATACTTGTGGGTAAAATTAATTATGAGTAATGTTAAAAAAAAATTAAAAGAAAATAAGCTTTCCTAAACTTTAATACATGTATTGACACTGTGAGAGTCTCCTAGCATGGAGGGTTTGACAGTGGTAATCACACTAAACCAAGATTTTAAAAATTAAAGAAGCATATTTAATCATATTACTATTACTACTAATAGTATTTTAATAAGAGCCAAAAGAGTTTGTACCACTAACAAAAATAATTTTTAAAATATCATTAATTATATTATTTTATTTTGCTCACATTTTTAAATTTTCTTTTTTGTATGTTTTATAATATACACAATATATTAGTGCAATAGCAAAAACATATTTTATACAGTTACAATTTTTGTCTGATGATGGTGCTGGATCAAAAAAAAAAAATTGGAGATCACTGAACTTAGACCATCCATCATTCCTAGAATTTATAGTAGTAACAACCTCATCAACTCAAACTAGTTTATAGTGTTCTCTAGTGCCCCCCAAAATGCAACCTGGATTCTGCATTCAATTAAGATGGGAGTGAGTACCTGTTACTCAAGGATTTATGTGGAACATAAAAATCTGGTCAGCTGAGTTTAGAAGTACTTTTATGTAGTGCCAGATACTTGAGACAAAATGGAGAAGGAAGTAAACAAGCTAGCCTTATCAACAAATATTTAACCAATTAACACATTTTTGTTGCCTGCCGCCTATGTGTAAAGCATTTCATTCTAATTATGTCACAAGATGCTTTAACCCACCATGAGCTAGGCCTAGGCCTAGAAGTTAGGAAATCTTAGTTCTAGGACCTTCCTTCCAGAAACTGGCTGTGGGACTTAGAGAGGTCACAACTTTTCTGCTCCTCAGTTTTGTTTTGTTTTTTTGTAAAATGAAAAGGATGGTTTATAAGATCCCTATTTGCTCCTTCTAGCCTAGAAGTTTCATAATTTTATAAACATGTTAGAAACTGACTATTCTAGGAAAGCTAAGTATTCATTTATTGACTTTATCACAGATTTTTGGCATTTATCATCATACTAATATCATATTGTTTTCTTATTGTTGGTAGACTTTAGTATCTTCATCTGTAAAAATGAGGAAGTTGGATGTGATGACCTCCAAGATCCCATCCAACTTGAAATCAGTGATCCAATGGTTTAACTAAATGATGATACTGAAAAAGATAGAATCCCAACATTGAAATAGACCTTGGAGGCCAATTAACCCAACTAGTACCTGAACAAGAATCCATTCTACAACATTTCCAACAAATAATTGTCCAGCCTTTCCAGTGATGGAAAGCCCACTGTTGTCTGAGGCCATTTCACTTTTGGAGAACTCTAATTGTTAGGAAGTATATTTTTACATCAGGCCAAATTCTGCCCTCTACCACTTGTAACCATTGCTCTTACTTCTGCTTATTGGACACAAACAGAAGGTGTCTAATCCCCCATCATAGCATTTCAGCACTCAAATACCTGAAAGCCAAGTATCGTTCCAAGGCCTTCCAAGTCTTCCCTTTTCCAATTCCTTCAACTAATTTCTGTATGGTATGACCTTTTGTCTTCTTACCTCATCTTTATCATCCTTTTCTAGATGCTTTCCAGCTTATAGAATCTTAGGACTATAGATTTAGAGCTAGAAGGAGATTTAAAGGCCATCTGTTCCAGTCCCTTCATTTTACAGATAAAAAGCAACTGTGACCTGTCTATGGTCACACAGCTAATAAACAGCAGAAGCTGAATTTGAAGCCAGGTCTTCCTGCCTCTAAATCCAGCACTCTATCCACTTTGCTATGGTTATCAATCTCCTTCCTAAAATGTGGTGAACAAAAATGAAGAGAATACTTCAGGTGTGGTCTGACCAAGGCAGAGTAAGAATGGTACTATAACTTTTAAACTCCTTGACACACTGTTCCTCTAAACATAGCCTTAGATCCCATTAGCTTTGGGGGTTGCCATATTATATTGTTGACTCCCATTGAGCTTACAGATCATTAAAACCTAAAAATTTTGTTCAGAGAAATTGCTATCTATTGATGCCTCCTTCTTCTTGTACTTCTGAAATTGATATTTTGAACTGAACTGTAGGGATCTAAATTTATTCAAATTTCATCAATCTCCACCAAAATCCTACCCCAAGGTTTCATTGTAACATGGAGTTTGTGCTGGGCTCTCTAAGGCTATGTGAATGTAATAGAAATTCTGGCAAGTTCTATCACATTGGAAAGACTTTGGAAACGCTTCTGGCAATAGACTATGTTGGCTTTCCAAAGGCCAACCTAAGTATGAAAATGCTCATCACAAGTAAGTAGTCTAGGGTTCTTTAGCCACAGCAATCCATGAAACAAAGAAATATACACAATGTCCCCTAGTCCTGATGGTCCCCTTCTGTTTCTGCTGTGTTGGAGGCAGAGAGTTGGAGAAGGGTGCAGAAGGTGATAAGAAACACAGTTTTTAGACCTTCTAAAATATTAATTTAGTTGATGCCACTCTAAATGTGAGGTCCTTGTCTAATGACTAACAAATGGATATACTATTATAGAAATGGCATTGAATCAATCTTGGTATTCTCCCCGCAAAGAAAACACAACCAAGTGGACGAATGAAGAAATATTTATCAAATGCTTACAATATGTCAGGCAATACACTAAACCCCAAGAATATAAATACAAAAGTCCTTGTCCTCAAGGTATTTGTGTTTTAATAGGGAGATGGAACACAGAGAGGAGGATTGGTGTCTGAGGAAGGGAGTTTAGGGCTGTGAAGTCACTGGGTTAGTGAGTTGATCCATAAGGCAATTCATTAACATGCTCTTTCCAGAGTAGAAGGTAGAAAGCTGGAGTGGAAAGGTGGCCCAGGGGAGATGTTTGGATGGGATGTAAACCATAGTCTGATATGGGGCTGGCTAGATATAGTGGTCTAGGTGAATTTCCACTCACTTATCCAGTAACCAATACAGCTCAGCTACTGGGGCTGGAGTTCCACATTTGAGTAGATTAATTGCCTAAGGGACTATTGGCATGATACATGGAGGTCTGGTCTAGAGCATTCTAGCACCCAAAGACTTAAAGGAAGTTGCTGAATGGAAGGATGGCTCGCAAATTCTTCTTGGATGTAAATAAGAATTGGAAGAACTGGTTTTATTGTGTATCCAAAGGTACTCATGATACTCCATGAGATATTTCATCATTTCCCATTGCAATGCTCATGATATTGCAGAAAGACCACCATGATGTCATTATGGTTTATGCTCAAATATTTTTTGTGCAGGATTAGGAATTCACCAATCCATCTAGACTTTTGAAAAATACACGTCTAAAAGATGCAAAGTCAGGTAACAAAGCATCAAAGTGAGAACATGGCTCAATCTTATAAATATAATTTTAGCTGTGCTAAGCTCAAAACGATCCGAGACTAATGAAAAAAAAGACAACAATAAAGTTTATGGTTTTGATTTATTTAAGTCATATTGGAAGGAGAAGATCAAAGAAGGCTAGGACCACTTCTTGAGCATGGTGATCATGGACAAGAAAGCCAAGGAAGAACCAGTCAAGTCTTGTTTTGGTTTTGCATTCTTTACCACTGAGAATCCCTCCTAGTGGAGCTAACCCAACAAAAATGGCTAACATGGAGAGGATATCTGAAATAAATAAAGAAAGGTCCCTGCTGTTGTAAGAGAAAACTTAGTGAAGGGCTCTGATGCATTCTCATCATCTGGTTCAGATGAACTAAACACTTGCATACTGAAAGTACTGATGGATGTTATCACTGAGCTGCTATCAGTGATATCTGAAAGGCTAGGAAGAATAGGAGAGATCTCACAGGACTAGAGAAGGGAAGATATTCACCCCATTTTCACTAAAAGAGAGAAAATAGAATGTAAACTAGAGGCCAGGTGATTCCTAGAAAAATACAGAATGGATCTGTAGTTGGGGTAAAGAGACCCCTTAAGGAGGCTCTGGTTATGGGCTCAAAAGGACCAGGTTCTGTTCTGGGGGAGTCTGACAGCAAAGAAAGGCAGTCAAGCTATTTCTTACACTCTCTGGCTCATTGTGCCCCAACTATGGCGCTCTAGAGAAAATCTCTTATACAAAGCTGTGGTTTTGTTTATGTTTAGGGTTTTAGGCCCTAAAAGGGATTAATATGGTCCCCATAAAAGGATAATCAATGTACAAAGTAAATGAGATATTTGTAAAGCACTTAGCACGGGGCCTGGCATGTCATAGGCACTATATGGTGGCTATTATTATTACATAAGGCATAGGATAACAATATATTTCCTCCACTACAAAATAAATGCTTAAACACAAGAAACTTATAAGCACACATTAGCAAATAATTAAAACAGGTAATGGGGCTCTTGGATAGTGGGCCTGGTCATACTCACTACACATGAAACACTGTGGTACTGCTGAACAGATGTTTCACTTTCACTTCTAACCTGTACTTCCTGGATAATTCATAAGTCCAGATCTCCTGGCCATCCAAGGCATGGCTTAAGCTTTAGTGCTTTGGAAACAGAATCCTCCTGCTGGTAATTCTCTCTTGCTGCAAGAAGTGGCACAGTTACAGGAAGTAACCAGGAACTCTCAACTTCCCAAATTCATCATGCACCCCCCAGGGCTGGAAGAGTCTGTCTCTCAATATCACTGTTCAGTCCTCCGTGCTGAGGGAAAGAAACCTAAAGTGTAAGAGGGAGCCAGGACTTTGAGGTCCAAGTGTCATATTTGCCTAGGCAAGCATGCAGTTGGCACTGCTCCTGGGGTGGTGGTGAGAAATCCCCTCTCTGGAAGTTCAAAGAAGAGCTGGCTTTAGCTCTTGATCCCAACCAAGAGGCTGCTTGAAAGGGCTAAAAGCTGTTCTGCTTCCTCTTTTTAAGAAAGAGAGGGATAGTTTTTCCTGGTTTAATCATCAATCCTCTGTGACACAGTCCTTGCCACAAAAAGCAAAGGACAAACTAGGAGCTATTAGTCATGGATTTCTTTTTATTTCTTTTTTTTCCTTATTTAATATTTTATTTTTCCCAGTTACATGTGAAAGCAATATTAACATCCTTCCTTTTTTTTTTTCTTCAAATTTTGAGTTCCAAATTCTCTCCCTCCCTTCCCTCCCCCACAACCAACATTGAGAAGGCAAGCAATTTGACATCGGTTATACGAGTATAGAAAATGCATTTCTTTTTAACTAGAAGCCGGAGTACATGTGGCTCATTAGAAGAGGCCAGAGTGCAAGTCCATTCCAACATATGCCCCATGGGATAGCTCCTATAACAGGTCATTAAAGAGATGTTTAGTGAACATTTAGAAAAAGAAGCAATAATTGCAAAGGACTAACAGGCTTCATCAAGAATAGGTGAGGCTAGACTAAGTGTATTTTTTTTTGAAAGGGTTACTAAACTGGTAGGTCAGGGGAATAGTATAGATACATTTTATGTAGATTTTAGCAAAGGATTTGATAAAGTTTCTCATATTATTCTTGTGGAAAAGATGGAGAGATATGGACTAGGCAATCATATAATTAGGTATATTTCCAACTGATTGAATGGATGGTCTCAGAGTAGTCACTGTTGCAATATCCCTTTGGGAGGGCCTCCAGTGGGGGAACCTCAAGAATCTGTGCTTGACTCTGTGCCATTGAACACTCTCATCAATAGCCTGGCTAAAGACATAAGTGGCATTCTTACTAAATTTGCAGATAACACAAATGAGGGAGGGATAGCTAACACATTTGGTGAGAGGATCTCAAAAGATATTGATAAGTGAATGCTATTTCAAAATTTAAAAAAAATTCTTAGTTCTTGAACATTACACAAAATAGACTGCAAACCAGATTTGGTTACTAGCCAGATCTGGTCCACAGGCTGTAGTATACTGACCCCTGGACTAGAGCATTGGATTGAATTGTAATAAGATGAAATTCATTTAGAAAAAAAAAAACATGGTCTTATACTCAAATTGAAAAAAAAAACAATTTTGTAGCAAGATGGAAGAGGCATGATTGGGCAGCACTTGTCTAAAAATAAAGATGGGGGCTTTAGTGGTCAGCTGACTTAACATGTAGCCAGCAGTGCGACATGGCAGCCCAGAAAGCTAACGTGATCCTGGGCTATGTTAAGTAAAAGAGAGATGGCTGTGAGGGATAAAGAAGTCCCCCTACCCCTGATCAGATTGTGTATGGAGCATTGTGATCAGTTCTGGCCACGACAGTTTAAGGAGGACATGATAAGCCAAAGTGCATCCTAAATGCAAAATGGCCTCTCGTGTTTGTGGCTCACAGAATATATATAGTAATTAGGGTCTCTAAGACTGAATAAAGTTGAGGATCACCAAATGGAAATGGAGAAGTGTCATGGTGCCCACGAGCAGGATAGAGCACATTACACAGAAGAATTGTTTAAAATTGTAAAGGATGTCTGTCATCAGAAAAAAAGATATGACCATAAAAACCAATGGGCTGGAGGACCATGTCACCACTGGCATCTGCATAATAAGAGAATATGACAAAGGAAGATCCATTGCAATTTTGGGTAGATCCCCTGTGACAGATGTATGGGAATTGTGGGAAATGGATGGAAGGATGCGGGCAAGAATCATACAGAAGCAGCAACAGGGGAGGGGTTGTGATCTGTTATCCCTGGAGAAAATAGCTACATCAATGAAATAACAGATCCAGTTACAGTATAAATTTCTTATTATTAGGCATAAGGCAGGCCACTAGGTAGCGCCATAGTGCATAGAACACCGGAATTGTAATCGGGCAGACTTGATTTGAAATTTGGGCTTAGACATTTCTTAGCTATGCAATGCTGAACTAGTCACTTAACCTCTGTCTGCCTCAGTTTCTTCAGCTGTAAAACGGGGATTATAACAGCACCGCCTTCCCAGGATTGTTGTGAGGATAAAATGAGATAATATTTGTAAAGCACTTTGTAAACCTTAAAGCACTATATAAATAAATGTTGGTTATTATGATTCAACACAACATTCTAGCCTGCTAAAATATTTTTGGATCCTGACTCTTATTTTTTATTCCTTCCATCATTATGTCCTTGAAGGTTTGCTAAATGTACCATCCAAGTTTTTATCGAAATCACTGATAAGAATAGAGTCAAGTAGAAATCCCTGGGGCACTCCACTACAGACTTCTTTCTGGGTTAACATTTGTTGACTAAGGAGGATCTAAGTTCAGGAATTGTGGGAAATGCCATGACAGTAACAGCCATAATAAAATGGTAAAAATAATTTTATCATAGTGATAGAAAAAACAAGAGAGAGAACTTACATTTAGGGAAGAGGGAGGAGCTCTGCCTGCATGAGCAGCTTTATGGGGAATTCCCTGCATCTTAAGAATTCTTACTAGGGCAAAGTAGCACTTTTTTATATGAAATGTCTTTTTCTGCAAACTGGTGTCAGCAGTTGGGTCTTGCACAACACGTGTAAACTGATGGGTCAACACTTGGGTGTTATATAACATACAGGGACAAATAAGAATCACACTGGCTGGCTTCAAAGACAGGTCACAATGCAACTGAACCTGTAAGACTTTTTGTTCAACCTGTTTTGATACAAATAAATTCTTCATCAAAATCCCTTGTCTCCTCCAACATGGAGACCTTAATGACTACCCTTTGGATTTGACTATTCAACTAGATACAAATCTTCCTAAACCTAGCCTATATCTTTCCATCGGATGCACAAGTATAGCATGAGAGGCTTTGCAAAATGCTTTTAACTGCTGGTGCCCTCCCTTCTAAATTGTCTTGCATTCAATAACTTTGCATATATTTGATTTATTCACTTTATATTTGTGCTGTATAAATTTGTATATACATTTGTCTCTCCTATTAGAATATAAACACCTTGTGAGGAGGAATCTTTGCATTCCTTGTACTTGCATATTCAGCACCTTGCACAGTGCCTGGCACATAGTAGGTGCTTATCCTTGTCAATAAAAGATTACATGACCCGTTCTTGGTGAAACTACAACAGCTTTTGTGTCCCCTTTTAGATATTCACTTACTCATCCCTTCAGCAACAGATCCTAGAAGTTTGCCAGGAATCAAAGTCAAGCTCACTGGCCTGTAGACTTAAAGACTTTTCTTTCACTTTGTGAAAGCCGGAACAATGTTTCCCCTTTTCCTCTCCTGTGGCACTTCCCTTAATCTCCGGGATTGTTTCAAAATCACTGAGAATGGCTCAGTAGTTTATCTACCAGTTCTTTCAGTGCCCTAGAATGTGGACCACATAAGTCAGTGAGTTGGAGCCTCTCCCTTACTATCAACCTCCTTTTCTTGACCATCAACTAATTGTCTTTAGACCTTTTTCTCTGTTTTCTAGTCTAAAGGACAAAATGAGAGTTGAGCAGCTTGGCCTTCTCTCTGACATCCACTTTTTATCCTTCTGTCTCTCCCTTCTTTGATCCTCCTCCTTTCCCCAAAAGAACTAAAAAAAAAAAAACCATTTGCTTTTTGTTTCTTCCCCTCACTCCACACTTTAGCACTCCCAACACTATTCTCACACAATTACTCCATGCTTTTGCATTCATCATCCTCTCTTGCCCTACCTTGCTTTCATCTTCTTTATATGTCTTTTTAAAATATATTTTGGTTGGTAAGTTCCTTATGTATCTGTGTTGGCCTCTTTGGACAGCTCCTCGTTACCTAGTGCCTTAAGGTTTGCAAAGAGCTTTATAGATTATTTCTTTCGATCTACAACCCTGGGAGGTAAGTACTATCATTCCTATTCTGTTATTGTTGTTGTGTCCAACTCTTCATGACCCTATTCAGGGTTTTCTTGGCAAAAATACTGGAGTGGTTGGCCATTTCCTTCTCCAGTTCATTTTACTGATGAGGAAACTGAGGCAAATAGGGTTAAGTTACTTGTCCAGGGTCACACAGCTAGTAAGTGTCTGAAGCCAGATTTGAACTCAAGTCATCCTGACTCCAAGCCCAGAGTTCAACCTACTGTGCTATAATCATCCCCGTTCTACAGATGGGGAAACTGAGACCAAAAGAGATTAAAATAATCTACCCATTTTCGCACAACTAGTAAGTGTATAGTTTTAGTTCTTGGGACCTTAGCTAGCTTTTCTCTGGACACTTTGAAATCTGTTCTGTCCATATATAGGTTGTATGGCAGTCTATGAACCTTGCTTTCACCTCTCTCTATCACAATTTTTACTTAATCTTGTTTCTTTTGAATAAAGTATATCCTTTCAAAGTCAGCATAAAATTGAGATTATAGACATGAAACGCTTTGCTAACCTTCAAGCACTACATGCATGCTAGTTATCACTCTATTCCAGTCAGCAGCCTCATCTCACTAAGTATCTGTAGGGCCAAATTTTCCTCCTTGCTTTCGACTCTCTAACACCTTGCTCAGAACCTGGCCTAAAAATAAGCAGATGTCTACAGCCCCTACCCACAAGGGAGCCCACTGGGCAGCCAGCATGTGCCAATCACCCCCTTGGCTGTATTTGCAAAGAGAGTAACAGCAGGAACAAGGAAGGGAGATGAGACAGGGGAATGTTGGCAGAGAAGGAGGGTGAGCGTGGGAGTCAGAAGAGGGATAGGCCTGCCCTGTGGATGGTGTGGTGCCAATAAGAGCCTTAAGGTCTTAGATCCTGAACGATCTTGGGCAGGGGTGGGGAACCTATGGCCTCGAGGCCACATGTGCCCCTCTAGGTCCTCAAGGGTGGTCCTTTGACTAAATCCAAACTTCACAGAACAAATCCTCTTAATAAAAGTTCTGTAAAACTTGAACTCAGTCAAAAGGCCACACCCAAGGACCTAGAGGGCCACATGTGGCCTCAAAGCCACAGGTTCCCCACCCCTGAAGTCTTGGTATGTTGTAGAGAGGACCTTTATGCAGGTCAAGGCTGGTTTATATGTTCTCTAGGGTCACCTATCAACTTTGAAATTCTGTGAGTCTGTGAGACAGGGGAGATAGAGAAACAAAGTAAGAGAGAGAGGGGGGAAGAAAAGGAGAAAGGGGAAAGAAAAGTGACCATTTGTATGTTCATTGCAAGTTAATTTCTGGGGCAGCTAGGTGGTACAGTGGATAACGTACCAGCCCTGGAGTCAGGCGAGTCCGAGTTCAAATCTGGCCTCAGATACTTAGTAGCTGTGTGACCCCAGGCAAGTCACTTAACCCTGATTGCCTCAAAAAAAAGAATGAAGTTTATTTTCCTTATGTAGACTCCTAATCTTGGAAGTAGAGCCAGGATGCTAGTAGTACCAGTGTGAGTGACTCATAAAGAACAGGTTTGCAATCAGAAAGGCTAGGAATAAAGCCCAGCTCTGCCACACTTGCCTGTGAGACCTCAAGCGAGCCACTTACCTTGTTTAGGCCTCCTTTTCCTCATTTGTAAAATGTGGGGATCAGGCTGACTGTTCTCTAAGATCACTTTCTGTTCTTCTCTTTAGTTGAGTTAGAAATAGGCAGAAGCTCCTGCTCAGGCTCCTGGGGGGGGTCCCCCTCTGCTCCCCATTACACAAATCTGGCTTCAAGTACCAAAGATGCTCCACACATTTGACATTTCTCCATTTCAGAGGATACTTTTGTGCTCGCTCAGATAGCCAGGAAATGAACCCTGTAATACCTTAGGGATCAAGTTTATCCCTCCCCAGACAATGCCTAAAACTAGTATTGTCTACCAACTAACACAGTTCCAAAGTGCCAAGATCATGGAAGAGACAAAGTATGAAGAAGGCAAGGTCTTGGTCCTTGAAGAGCTTGGGAATTATCCTCATGTCCCCAGAAGGGTCCCTCCATACTCATCTCCTAGTCAGCCTCATCATCATGGAACCTGGCAGTGTCTACTAGGAGAAAATAGTCCAGCCTGACTCCTTTTCTGACCTCATTCTTCTTTCCTTTCACAGAAATCACGTGCTGGCAGCCTCTAAATCTGACTCCTTTGAAACCTGAGTCTTTCTTATGGACAGTGACTGCAACCTTCAATTTCCTTGTATAAAAGCGACCTCTGCCTAAATCCTTTAACGATTTAGAAATGTCACCCAACTCTCTGCTGGACCATGTAAGAAAAAAACCCAACCCAATAATGTAACAACCGTCTACTAGTTATAGCAAGACGGAAGTAGGCAATAGCTCAGAAAATTATGCTTCTGGTGAGGAAGACACAATGCACAGAAACGCGTCAGTTTCCACTAGAGCTGAGACCCCATTTCTGACAATGAAACAGTCATCCACCTAGAGACAATGCACTCTCTGCTTAGCTCTCTTCAGTTCTAGTCTCCCAGGCTAAAAAGACAACAAGCAAGAGAGTTTAGAAACATTGGTAGAAAGTCTGCAACATCAAGACAGTAAAAAAATTGGCAGGTGGATCTAGAAAAAAATGTGACTGTTGCTGCTAACTTTGCAATTGTTTCTTTTATGCTGTTCTACTGCCCTGGGGTCCAGAGGCCCCCTCTGGTCCTACGATACAGCCAGTCCTAATGCATCCGGTACCTTTAGCTCCCTAAGAGAACTCATAGACCACCTCCCCTCTTCACGCCTGTTTGAGATGAGGACCCACAAGTTCCTAAGCCTTCTTTCACTACAGTTTCCTGGGCACATCAGGTCCTGAGCCACCACCCACAAGCAGGCCCCAGACAGGTGACTGGGAGTCTCCTCTCCTCTCCAACCAGTGCACAAAGTGTCTGGTCCTAGTCCCCAGCCCTTACACAGAGATCAGTGTCATCCCCAACATTTCAGATCTTTGCTCAGCCAGGTCCTAGAATCCAATCAAAGCTTAGCAGAGTCACCTGGCACCTTACCACAACAGTTCCCATCTTGGTGAAAAGCAGTGGGGACCCCCAATCCTAAGCTTCCGTACCAGGGCTTAAAGCTTTCTCATAGGCCTTGTTCCATCTCCTCTCCTCACCTCCCTGCTCCACTGAAAAGAAGGGAGGGTGGTCAGTGATGCCATGTGTACAGTTGGCCCCAGCAGGTACATTCACACCAGCATGAGGCATGGACCCAGGAGAGGTCATTTACAGCCATGGCAAGATCAAGAGCCGGCATCCTTATGGGAAGCTGGACGTTGTAGACAGTTCCAAGGCTTCTGGAGAAAGTGAGTGTCTGCCCCACTCCTAGGACAATAGTCCCCCAAGGCAAAGCCCCAGCCATCCTGGAGTAGTTATGGTTCTGAGTTCTAATTCTGGGTCTTCTCCCACTCCTCCCTTCCTACAACACAAACAGCAGCCAGCCAGGGAGTGCCAAGCCCTGCCTCTTCCTTACCCTAACCCCAAGAAAGCTATGGGATTACTCTACAGGGCTGCTGCTCACCCATAAACTAGAGACTTCCTGGTCTCCTAAAGCTAAAAAGATTTCACCACTCTCCCTGCAAAACTTCTTGTTCTCCCCCAGACCCCTCACTTAGTTCATAGTAAGTGAGAGGTTCTATTCCTACTCCTAGCACCAAAAACAAAACAAAAACAATAAAACCCCAAACAAAACTATTATCAAACTTTAAACATTATAAAAGCTTAAAGAAATTTATCAAGACATACAATTTTTTTCTGAAATACAAGTTGAAGCCTCAGTGGATGGGGTGACAGTGAAGGAGTTTAAGAGGCAGATTGCTGCCAAACATATCCCCTCAGAGATAATGAGTTATCTTGGGGAGTGGGTGATACTGTAGAATGAGGAAAAATGGAAGGAATACAGTGAAGACCTGGCTGGGGCTTTGAGAGAAAGGTGACCCATCTGGCGAAGCAGAGTCCCCTTTACAGAGCCAGCCCAGTCTCCCTCAGACACTCACAGTGGGGGACAGACCCCACTCAGTCTCCAAGGTCCTGAGGTCCCCATCCATGACTAGAATGTTAACAGTGATGTCATGATTTCAATCTTTGTAAACTGGAAGGGAAAGCTAGGTTTGGTGGAGAATGGAATGGTGATGGATAGAGAAATCTAAGGGGCCATTAACTTATGTTTTTAGGTTTGGAGCAAAGGGCCAGATGTCTGGGTCCCTTTCCTGGGTGGTGAGATCTCCCTTAGGAAGAGCTAGGGCCAGAGACATGTAGCTCCTGGCCCTCTGTTATCATGGCATTCTCTCTTCCCTCACCTCACACTTCCAGAGTGACAACTTTGCTATTTATGTTCACACAAACATGAAGCAGGCCCTAATCCAAATATCCAGCGGCTAGAAGCATTACAGGTTTTGTAATACAGGAAGTATATTTGGCACAGGGATGTGAATACACCACATTATACCTGGAATATTATGTTCAGCAGGTGGTGCAGTGGATAGGGCACCGGGCCTGGAGTCAGGAAGAGCTGAGTTCAAATCTGGCCTCAGGCACTTCCTGGCTGTGTGAACTTGGGCAAATCATATAACCCTGTTTGCCTCAGTTTCCTCATCTGTAAAATGAGCTAGAGAAGGAAATGGCAAACCACTCCAGTATCTTTGCCAAGAAAAACCCAAATGGGGTCACAAAAAGTTGGACACAACTGAAAAAATGACTGAACAATCCATTATGTTCAGTTCTGTGTGCCACATTTTAGGAAGGACATTAAAAAGCTGGCAGACAGTGAGATGGTGAAGGTCCTTGAAGTTAAGACATATGAAGGTCAGTAAAAGAAATTCAGAATGTTTAGCCTAAAAAATACCGGGTCAGGGTGAGGTTAGGGGTGGCGTGGGAATCAGCTGTATTCAAGCATTTGAAAGCTGTCATGCAGAAGAGAGATCAGACTCTGGTTGGCTCCAGTGGGAAAAACTAGAAGCAGTGGGTAGAAGTCACAGAAACAAGTTTAAGCTCTATATGAGGGGGGAAAAATCCCAACCACGAGTACTATGCCAAAGTAGGATGGATTCCCTTGGGGGCGGTGAGTTTCCACTCACTCCAGGTCTTCAAGCAATGGTGTCTTGTGCAGGGGATTCTCCTTTAGGTAACAGTTAGACTATATGGCCTCTGGTTCCTTCTCACTCTAAGATTCTGTGAAAGCAATTCTCAGAGGTAATTGTATGTTGCTCTGGTTCAGTGATTTTGCAGTTGTGTTCGACTCTTCCTGACCCCATTTGAGCTTTCTTGGTAAAGATACTGGAGTGGTTTGCCCTTCTCCAGCTCATTTTACAGATAAGAAAACTGAGGCAAACAGGTTAAGTGACTTGCCCAGGGTCACACGGCTAGAAAGTACCTGAGGCCAGATTTGAACTCAGGAAGATGAGTCTTCCAGTCTTCAGGCCCTGAGCTCTATCCACTGTACCACTTAGGTAATTTTATACATGGTTATCAACACAAGTACCTAAATATCTGTGTATATCTTTTACTAAATGCCTACATCAATTAATGAAAAAAGGAGGAAATAAATTAAGTGTGTACCTGAAGATACTGGAGAAGTATAAAATCAAAAGTTCAAAGTAAAACAGGTTTTTAAAAAATATAAAGGCAGAAACATAAAGTGAACAAATTAAATTGGCAAATAAAACCAGGAGCTGTGTCTTTTTGAAGAATAAATGAATGGGAAAAAAAGCACTTATTAAGTATTTATTATATACAAAGTGCTGTGCTAAGTATAAGAGATAAAAAATCAAACTTAAGATAGTCACTGCTCTCAAAGAACTCACATTCTAAGAGACAGGGATTCATATAGGAGGATTCAGCCACTATAGAAGCTCTTCCTCGTGTGCCTCTTGTACGTGAGAAAATGTTCCCATTCTACTTCTCCCTCCCACCTTCTCCCAGTGCAGCCCTCTTTCTCACCCCTTCATATTCTTTTAGATCATACCAACATAATCAACTCACCCCCATAAGCTCTGTCTATAGACTTCTAACTGCTCTATTGATGATAAAGTTCTTAGGAGTTATATGTATCATCTTCCCACCTAGAAATGTAAACAATTTAACTTCATTGAGTCTCTCAAGATTATTCTCCGATGTTTACCTTTTTATGCCTCTCTTGAGTCTTGTGTTTGAATGTCAGATTTTCTATTTAGCTCTGGTCTTTTCATCAGGAATGTTTGAAAGTCCTATATTATAATCAGTTTTGCTGGTTAGGTGATTCTTGGTTGTAACCCTAGCTCTTTTGCCTTCTGGATTATCATAGTCCAAGCCCTCCTTTAATGTAGAAGCTGCAAAATCTCGTGTAATCCTGATTGTGGCTTCACAGCATTTGAACAATTTCTTTCTGGCTGCTTGCATTATTTTCTCCCTTGACTTGGGAGCTCTGGCTATAATAGTCCTGGAAGTTTTTATTAGAGATATCTTTCAGGAGGTGATTGGTGAATTCTTTTTATTTCTATTTTACCACCTGGTTCTAGGATATTAGGGCAGTTTTCCTTGATAATTCCTTGAAATATGATGTCTAGGCTCTTTTCTTTGATCATGGCTTTCAGGTCCAATAATTCTTAACTTATCTCTCCTTGATCTATTATCCAGGTCAGTTGCTTTTCCAATGAGATATTTCACCTTTTCCTCTATTTTTTTTCATTCTTTTGACTTTGTTTGATTGTTTCTTGATGTCTCATAGAGTCATTAGCTTCCACTTGCTCAATTCTAATTTTTAAGGAATTATTTTCTTCAGTGAGCCTTTGTATGTCTTTATCCGTTTGATCTGTTCTGCTCTTTTCTTCCATGAAGTTTTGTGCCTCTTTTACATTAAGCTAATTCTGTTTTTGAAGGTATTATTTTCTTCAGTATTTTTTTGGGTATTTCTTAGCTGTTATTTTTCTTTTTCATAATTTTCTAACATTACTCTCATCTCTTTTATCAGTTTTTCTTCTACCACTTTCTTTAACTCTTCCAGGAATTCTTATTGGGCTCCAGTCCAAGTAGCATTTTCCTTTGAGGCTTTGCTTCTAGCTATTTTCAGATTGTCACCTTCTGAATTTATGTCTTGGTCTTCCTTGCCACTATAGTGGCTTTTTATGGCCAAGTTGTTTGGGTTTTTTGTTGTTGTTATTGTTGTTGTTGTTGTTGTTGTTCACTCATTTTACCAGCTTATTTCTTGACTTTGAACATTACGTTAAAATTGGACTTTGCCCACCTCAGAATGGGAAGGCACTGTCCCAAGCTTCAGACTTTTTCATGATGCTGT